ACCTAAATCCGGATTTTTCAACTAATATATATATCCACTAGCTGTGATACGAACCCACCAAGCAGCCTCTTGCCTTTTTTTTTTTTTCCTTTCTCCATTTTTACAGTGCCCCTCACACAGTGTTAGTTGCCTCTCCCACTCTATATAAGCTCTGGGAATACAACAAATTTTTATCGTTTCATATCCATGCTTTTGCTGAAATTCCCAGATGGGTTTCAGCTACCAAAGCATTCTGCATTTCTTTTTCACGGTTTCGCTCGTGTTCTTTCACCGAGCAAACGCGAGCCAACAACAACAGTATTACAACGAGAGTGCATTATCGAGAGGTAGAAACCAAGCGAGGGGATGCAATCTGTTCCAAGGGAAATGGGTTTTCGATCCTTCGTACCCGTTCTACGATTCCTCGAAATGTCCCTTCATAGATCCCGAATTCGATTGCCTTAAACACGGCAGACCCGATAAACAGTTTCTTAAATACGCCTGGAAACCGGATGCTTGTAGTTTGCCTAGGTAAAATTAACTGATTGCAATCTTTGAACTGTGGATTTCGATCTCACATTGGGGGTTTTCTGTTTTGTAGGTTTAATGGGGTGAGTTTTCTGGGAAAATGGAGGGGAAAGAAAATCATGTTCGTGGGTGACTCACTGAGTTTGAACATGTGGGAATCATTGGCGTGTATGATCCATGCGTCGGTGCCTACTGCCAAGACGACAATTGTCAGACGGGACCCTTTATCTTTTGTTATTTTTGAGGTGAGTTATTTCCATTTTTAGTTATCTTTTCCATATTATCAGAAATATATATTTTTTAAAGTATACACATATGTTAATATTATAATTTTTTTAATAAAATGGACATAAATTAAACTCTAGAGTAAATAATTAATCAAAATAATTTAAATTTCAGGATGAACACATACTAAAAAAAACTATAATCGAACATTGTATTTGATTTTATATATAAATATATTCACACACATCTATTGACTAAATTGTTCAAACTTGAATCACTAAGAGACATATTATCCTCTATCTCTGAAATCACTCCTTAGATTTATTGGTATCGAAAAATATTACATATATTATTTTTTTAAAGTTAATTACATGCTTTGTAATTAGAATTAATTCTAGATTTTGGGATTTCCAATTTTTAATAATTTTCAACATGCCATATTTTATAACTGAATTTACACATTCAGGGGCGGATGATAAGAAGGGGGAGACTTGACACTCTCAAAGTTTTGAGAAATTTGTATTATAATTTTAAAATACTTTTAAATTTTCGTTCAAGTCCTCTAGTTTTTTTTTTAATTTTTTTAGGAAATCTCAAATTTTTGAATATTTTTTAATTAAGCCCCTTTATATTTGTTAAAAAGAACCATTAAGTCTTTCAGAATTTTTGAAAATTTTAATTAGACCCTCACATTTTCAAAAAGTTCTCACTAAATCCTTTAAGAGTTAGTTTAAATATATCAAATCTTTTACTAAACCTACCATTTTTTTATCATTATGTTTTTTCCCTTTTTTTATTAAAGTTTTTTATCATTATATCCAAATCTTTTATTAAACCTACCATTTTTTTATCATTATGTTTTTTCCATTTTTTTATTAAAGTTTTTTATCATTATATAATAATGATGTCTTTTTATTTTTTATTAAAGTTTTCTATTAAGGTCTTTTTCATTGTTAAAGTTTATTATTAAAGTATTTTTCATTTATTTCTTCAATATGGTAATAATTATTTTTTTATTTTTGTTATATTTTTACTGATTTAATTATACATATATGTATAAAAAAAGCAAATATTAAAACATTCATTGATAAATATTAAAGGGTATAGGCGTGGTGAGTGGAGCAAGGCGTGGTAAGTGGGAGTATGAGTGAAGTTTGCTTGGTTGTGGTGCTAGTGTGGGGAACATGGGTGGTGCTCCAACTTTTTGCAAAAAAACAACTCTATAAATAATAGTTTGACCTGGTACGTTTAGTAAATGGTGCCAAAAGTTGGTTTGATCTGGTACATTTAGTAGTACCCAATCAAAATCCATATATATAATATTTACATACGCTACATCGACAGCGCGTACAGTGATATATCTTAACAGTATAATTTGGAGATCAATCAAAATTTTCAAAACATTGGGTACCATTTACTAAACGTACCATGTCAAAATCCATATATATAATATTTACTAAATGCTAGCACCACAACCAAGCAAACTCCACCCATACTCTCATTTACTCACCACGCCCTGCTCCACTCACCATGCCCATGCCCTTTAATATTTATCAATGAATGTTTTAATATTTTTTATACATGTATGTATAATTAAATCAGTAAAAAATAACAAAAATTAAAAAATAAATAATTATTACCATGTTGAATAAATAAATGAAAAATATTTTAATAAAAAACTTTAATAATGAAAAAGACTTTAATAGAAAACTTTAATAAAAAATAAAAAAAACATCATTATTACATAATGATAAAAAAAATTTAATAAAAAAATAGAAAAAATATAGTGATAAAAAAATGGTAGGTTTAGTAAAAGATTTGGACATAATGATAAAAAATTTTAATAAAAAAAAGGAAAAAACATAATGATAAAAAAATAATAGGTTTAGTAAAAGATTTGATATATTTAGACTAACTCAATTTGATTTGATGTTTTATTTACTTAGTAATAAGTAAAGAATGTTTCTATATATAGAGTGGGCAAACCTTTTGCATCCATTTATTTCTTCGTTTATATGCTTGTCTTCGCAAGTAGCAAAAACAACTGGGGAAATAATGTATTCTACTTTCTTGTTTTTTTTTCTTCATATAAGTGGAGCACTGCTGAAGTTGAAGCTTATTATTGTCAGTCCAGATAGATTATTGTGTGTGTATATATATAATATTTAAAACCATCTATGAAATCATGGCAGCTTCATATTTTAAAATAGGGTAAATTATACTAATGGTCGATGGATTTTTAGGGTGTTTATACTTTGGTCACCGCACTTTTATTATGCTTCCATTTCACCACACTTTAATGTTATAAGATTATATCAATTATCTTTAATAAAAATGATTAAAATAAAAATCTGGTGACTTTAATATAACTTTTAAAACTCAATGGTTAAAGTGAAAAGGTCTTATGTAAATTTATATATCTTATGTGAATTTGTATTCTTTATTTATATTAATTCTTTTCGTGTCATGTTTATTAATTATTTGTGACATGTGGGGAATAAATGTGAGAAAATCAAAGCTTGAATTCTCTGCATGATTGGTAGTTCGGTTCCTTTAAAGGACCACTGACTTACAGCTGTTTTTAAAGGACCTATTATAATTTCATGCAACTAATTGAACAACATTAATTAGTAATTTATTTGTTTAATAAGTTTGAATAATTATATATGTAGGTTTTGAATGTTGTCTATAGTTACGAATGATTGTGAATAGATATTATTTTATAATCATCTCATGCTATTTAATTTTTTTAATACGAGTTTTGTTTATTTAAATATAATTTAATTATCAAAAGGATGTTATGTTTGTAGGGTTATGGAGTAACCCTGTATATCTATCGAACACCATACTTAGTTGATATAGTGAGAGAGAGGGTTGGTGCAGTGCTTCATCTGAACTCCATCAATGGCGGCAATGCATGGAGAGGGATGGACGTACTGGTTTTCAACAGTTGGCATTGGTGGACTCACCAGGGAAAATCTCAAGCGTAGGATTTTCTTTCTTTTGCTTTTGGTTTATCAAAAACATTTTACCTACTTAAATGAAAAGTGTGAATACTTTAAGTATTTATTTTTAATTAAACCTTTATTATCATAAATTACTTGTTATTAAATTAAATTTGAAAAATGTTTTGCAGATGGGATTATATTAGAGATGGGCGTGGATTGTACAAAGATATGAACCGGCTTCAGGCGTACTACAAAGGACTTGCTACTTGAGCTTATTGGGTTGACACCAATGTTGATCCTACCAAGACCAGAGTCTTCTTCCAAGGCATTTCTCCCACCCACTACGAGTGAGTTTCAAAACATACCTTTATATGTATATATATTACTTTCTTCAAATCTTCAACATAATCCTTTGACAAAATTACTGACAAACCTATATAATCTGTTAGAGTTTAACATATCTAATTAACTTGTTAGTCCAGAAATAATCATCATGGTATGATGTTTAACACTAATACTAATATCAAATTAAAAAGGGTGAACTGTCCACGACTAGCACAACTCATATTTTACCATCAACATGTACATTTATCGAGTCAAATGGTAAAGAATTTATCAAATCCTGGTTCCATTCATGTATTCAGTTAATCGGTTAAATTTAGAAATTGGTTGGTTAAGTCGGATCATTCGATTTTTTAACTGAATCGATCGTAAAAACTAATTATTATGTTGAATGAAAAAAATAAAAATAAAACAGGGGCCGGGAATGGAACCATCCGAAAGGGAGCTGTAATGGAGAACTGCAGCCACTATCAGGGTCAAAGTACCCAGCAGGAGCACCACCAGCGGCTGCAATTCTGAACAAAATCCTGGGGAACATGAAGAAACCTGTGTATCTGCTTGATATCACCACACTATCTCAACTCAGAAAAGACGCCCATCCTTCCACTTACAACGGCCAACATTCCGGCAACGATTGCAGCCATTGGTGTCTCCCCGGTTTACCCGATTCATGGAACCAGCTCCTATATGCAGCTCTTGTTATGTGACCAAAATGGTCCAATCAGTGATGGCTTTTATTTTTTATTTCTTATAATTTGTACATTTAGGATTAAGTGCGGCCAAAGATCAAATGTAAAGTGATTAATTCTTTAAACCCAAAAAAAAATGTTCAAATTTGGATTGTTGCTTACTCCCACGGTGTTTGGATGTGTGATTGCTCTATTATCATGCAACAAGTTCGAACTTAGAAATCTATACGAAATATGTCATGTATCATCCATTCCAATCGATTTTGTGGAAAGACTACCCATACAAAGAAGTTTATCTATAAAATCATGGAAATTCTATGAACTCGCATCTTAGAGAAGTACCCGGTAATGGCCACATCCCATGATTTCGTATCAAGCTCTGAAAAATCCGGCAGTCGCTCGTAAACTACCGATGCAACCTTGGTCAAAACGGCGGCGGTGAAAGCCCATATCAGATACTTGGCATTTTCTATTTCATATTCAAAGTAATGGATTATAATATTTTGTCCCATCCATTTCATCTTCTCCGTCCTACGGTTTTCATCCTGTATTCGGTACAAAATAAACTCGAAAACGTAACACGATTCCTTGGACCAATAATGACAACAGAATAGTACCTTGAGAAACATCTCCAAAGGAGCATCAAATATCGCTTCCACTTCATCTGCACATGGACATGGATCGAATGCCTTCGCATCCGATAATATACCCACCACGGGGACGACTATAGTTCGATGCTGCGATTGGAAAAAACCGGCTCTAGATTAATGTTACGTATACCTAGAAAATTGCAGCTACCAATTTCATTTTCATGCAACCTAAGATGCTTAAGGACCTCGATGAAGCAATCTCGACACATGATACGATATGTCATGATACAAAGAAAAACTGACAAGCAAGGCATGAGTACACGAACATGTCGAAATATATAGTTATACGGATTTCGATTAATGAAACAATAAAAGTAACCTTGTTGAGCATTGGTTCGAGGACAGCAACAACATTGACAAGTGAAGGGTCCAAGCCAATTTCTTCATTGGCCTCCCTCAAGGCAGTGTCTACATCAGTTTCATCACGTTTCCCTCCGGGCAATGCAACTTCACCTAAAATCAAACAATTTGTAAACCCCGGGAAAAAAGTTAATATATGTTCAGTCTTTATACTTTTCACATATTTTGAATTTAGTCTCTCTGCTTTTATTTTTAAGCATTTAGTCCCTCTGTTTTTCGGATTCAAATATTCAAACCTGATTGTTAATATTGTTAAATTTTTATTATTAAATGAATTTAACAAAAAAATTATCACGTTAAAATTTGAACTCGAATTTTTTATTTTGAGAAATGGAGTAGGGGTGGGTGACCAAAATACTTGAATTCGATACATGTCGAGACAAGCTTTGTGAAGGAGAGAGTCGAGATTGAGATTGAGATGAAACCGGTTTTAGGGTAAAAAATCTCTAACTCGATAATTACTATAATACCCCTCTACATATATATTTAGAGATAATTACTATCATTTATTTTTGTATATTTTTTCAATTATCTCTCTATCTTGCTGGAAAAAAAATGAAAGAAAAATATTTCACCTAAAGTTCGGGATGGATTAGAAGAGGGTGAAACATCACCAAACATTAGGGCGAAAAAGGATAAGATGAAAGCCTTCAATTTTCAGGTTGAGATCAGGACCGTCAGAAAATCAACCAGCATCACCCGTACTCGTTCATAAAATAGTACTAAATTTCTGAAAATAAAAGTATAGACTAAATTCTAAATGCATGAAGAGAACACGAACATGGAGTATATTTAACCAAAAAATGATGACATACTGAGGGTCTAATTACGAATTTCATCCCTCGTGTTTGAAAAAAAATGATGAAATCTAACAGTTGAAGAATCTGGACTCACCGGAGTGAGACGACAGAGTTGAAGAACGTTTGGTGAGTATGAGACGGAGATGACCATTGTTTCCTTGGAAAATACAGACAAGAACTGCGGATCTTCTGAGGTTTTGAGGATGTTGGTGATCTGATTTTGAATCGGAACAGAGAGGAAGTGAGCCTGTGATTCGGTGAAGACGAGTTGATTTATAAAGGCGAAGCCTTTGAGCCGAGTTTTCAAGGACATCAGCTCCATGTTTGAGATTGTCGTAAGAACCCCTCATGTCTCCGTTTCTCACTTTTGTTCAATCTTATTTATGGTTTTACAGCACCCATGTCCGACCTTTCCATTATGAAAGGTAGTAAAGGTAAAATTTTACACTGACAAAAAAAAAAAACGTTTTAATATTTGATTGAATTTACCACTTTGATTATATATTAGTATTTTAACTCTGAATATTTTCTTTAGGACAAAATAATTTTGGTTTGATAAAAATAGCTAGTTAATTATCGATCAATGTTTTCGTTGACGTAATAAGTTTTGTGTGTCTAAAATGATGACGTGATATTTGTCATATATCATCACTTATGTACACATGACATATGTAATATCATCCCTTTGAAAACGTAAATTTATCATGTCAACGATAAATATTGATTGTTAGTTAACTACTAATTTTCACCAAACTAGAAATATTTTACTCTAAAATAAAAATATTGAAAACCAAAGTAATTTTTTTTAAGTAATGATCAAAATGACTATTTTATCGAACAATACGATGAATTTTGATATTATGCCTTTTGATTTCAATCCTTTTACTACGTTAAAATTTAAGATTTAATTCCTCTATGTTAATATAACATAATTTAGTCCCTTTACTTTTATAATGTGATTAATTAGTTCAAATTAAACATGCTTTTTAAAGTAATAAAGTGATTTATGTACTCACTGTAGCAATAGCAACCAATAATAATTATACCGAATAACAATAAAAGAGCTTATTTATATATAAAAAAAATAAAAGAAATTACGCATTACTAAAATTGTAATTATACCAAATGGATTAAAAGAGGCACTAAAACAAGTCCAAATGCACCACGTGGATTAACCTTTTTGGCTAAAACTATAATTAATTAATATGCTAATTAATCCTGCCATTCAAACATACCTAACTACAATTACAAATATTTATTTTTAATTAATTATCGATTGGTCTAACAATATGAAGTATTAGATGTCTTAAGTAAAGGTAGAAGATCAAGTATTGGCATTATAAATGGAAAAAAAAATTAGATTAAACGGATCAGTCTATAACAAGTTTTTGTCATATTCGATCCAAACTTAATTGATCAACCGATCAAATGCGAGTAGTTATACAAAAAATGTTTATAGCTAACATTTTCTAGTTATTCTTCCATTTCTTAAAACGTCAAATGATACAGAGGTATGGAAAAAACACAAAAGGGCACATGAACTGCCGCAACCGCAATTTAATACTATGCTTGTGCCCGTCTTTCTAAATATAGAATGATTTAATATTTTTCTTAGGAATAAAAACCAAACCTTGTGAATCATGGGACTTGATTTACCGCATAACAGTGTTTTTGTCGACAGCCTCAGGGAACTTGAACTTAGGGTTCTGTTCCAAGAAAGCCGGAGGTCGCCGGTAAACTAACGATGCGGCTCTTATCAAAACTCCGCTGGTTAAACCCCAGATTACGTACTTCTTCTTCTTCTCGGTTTCGTATTCGAAGTGGTGAATCAAATACTTCTCCCCCATCCACTCGCTCTCTTCCTCGGTCCGGTTTTCATCCTGAATATGTAATTCATGTGCGGTTTACAAAAGGGTAAACGATTATACGAGCATAAAGCGTTGAAAGAGACGAACCTTAATGAACATTTCCAGGGGGGCATCAAATACTTCATCGACTTCCGCAGCATTTGGAGTCGGCTTGAATGCCTTTTTATCGTAGAGTATGCCGATGACCGGAACTACTCTAAGGAGATGCTGCATGGAAAACCATACAATGTGAATTGCAGCTATGCAATACCTATTAAAATGTTTTTAACGTGTCAAATACACCTTTGTACCTGCACTCACCCTTGAGTCAGAGTGGCGTAGATTAAAACCGAAAGATTAAGACAGGTATGTCATATTTCTATAACACAAGTAATCAACAATTTTAGGTCAATAAATTTGCTGCCACCTATGAACTAACAGTCTACCTCGAATTAAAGAGAGTGTTCTTCGCTTTTAAGCTAAGGTTTGGAGATCGAGTTGTAAGACATAGAGACAGACAATACCAATCAACAAGAATTTGAGTTTGAGATTCCAACAAACATTACCATTGGTGCATAGAGGGGAAAATGTCATGATCACCGAAAAGGGAACACAAGAAAATCAAACAAATGTCATTAATCAAGAGGATCAACGGTCGATGAAGACACTAGAAGAGCTTTGAAGAAATATTTCACTACCTTAGACAAAAATGGTTCGAGAAGAGTTACGATATTCACAAGCGAAGGGTCCAATCCAATCTCTTCCTGAGCCTCTCTAGTAGCAGTCTCAGCATCATCTTTGTCCCCCTCCTCCGATTTCCCACCCGGCAATGAAACTTCACCTGCAACAGATTACACAAAAGAACAATCAATTAAGTCCCACAATATATCATCAATCACACCAAAAAGCACACATTTGGTAGTCACATAGAAGGGGGGGGGGGAAACAAGACAAACCGAAAAATCACAATCTTATATTCATCAACTCAAATATTGATAAAAACTCGACTTATGAGCCTGAAGCAACCATGTCGAGTGAAGGGAAACACAGGCACCTCCTAAGGATGTCAAAATATAATATACCCAACATCATATTCGTTTTCGTTCTATTTACGAAAACCATTTGATTGAAGTCCCACAATATATCATCAATCACCATTAAGGTCACCTCAAGGAAAATTAAGAGAAACCAAAATCCCGAACTTAGTATCACCTCAAGTTTGAATAACGCCCAGCTTGACTAAAATTGAAGCAACTAAATGAAGTGAACACCATCACCTTCATAGTATGCCAAAATATAGCATAACCATCTTTATATTTACTAAAACCACTTGACTTGATTATAACTCAATCAAAGACACAACTTCATCTTAATTTCTCGCCTTAATAACCTTAGTTGATTTCCAACGCTGAAAAGAGAAAATTTACTGCAGAGAACCTCACAATCACATATGCAGAAAACTCAAATGATTAAGGTTAGATACCTTTGAAAGGATAACACTCTCTTCAATGGCTTGAATTTTCTTTCTAACCAAACAAGGTGTTACGAAATAATGACAAGCAATCGATCGTATAAGTAAAAAGAGAACGAACATACAATGTCGAGTTCACTATGATCGACGACAAACTATAGGAGAGATGTGAAAAGCACATAAAACACACACAAACACTAGGTACATGTTGGAGAGTAAGTTTCAGCAGGAAGGTGTGCCAACTGGATTGGTTTGTTGCTGCATTTTATAACTGCTTTCTGTTAAGGTTGTTAGGTGGTTAAGCCAGCTGTATATTGGGTTAATCTCACAGTGATAACTCAGCAACCAGCGTGGCTATATTAATAGATCTTCGGATCAAGGCTAGATAGATTTTTTCGTTTAGCCTACATTCTGTTTTTCCCTTTTCTTTCTCTCCTTTTATTTCTGGTTTTGAACTGTGTTCATAACAGTTTTAACAGTACATATGTAAAAGTGAGAATTTAAACACAAAAATTTACGCAAAATCCACCAATAAGTAATTCTATTTTCCTCAGAATTGTCCAATTAAACCAATCAACTCATTCCGAAATCCAGACAATTCAAGGAATCAAAAGGCAAACGTTTCGTTAACCATTAAATGTAAAAAATTTAACAAAAACTAATAGAGAATCAAACTAACCCGAATGAGTGGACATTCTGGAAGACCTTTTGGTCAATATGACACGCAATTCCCCAGCATCACCTTCAAAGAGACAGATCAAAACAGCAGCTCTTTTGGGTTTAAAATTTTCCGGGTTTTGGGTAATTGGGGTCGCAGATTCTTGAAAACCCAGTTGGGAAACAACTTTCCCTGTGGCTTCCTCGATGATTCGTTCCTCGTTGTCGTCGTCCTCCGAGGAACAAGGTGGAGGCTTGTACTGACTCAGCTGCTGAGCTAAGGTTAAGAGTCTTTGTGATGAAAATGAAAGAGATGAGCTTTTCAAAGATCTTGATGAAGCCATCTATAGTGAAGACGATTGTTGAAGAAACTATATATATATGGGTAAGTACGAAGTATACAAGAAATCACCTAAATATACTAAAATAATTATTTTCATCAATAAATTTTTAAAACTTATTAAATAACCATTATAATTAACAAAATATTATAAAATAATCATTACAATATTATAATAAATTTATTTGATTTATTCTACTATCAAAATTATTTAAATCTAATCTTATAAAATAATATATATTAAGAGAAAATTTAACCAATTAATAACGCATATACACTCTATAAACGCAATTGCTTAAACATAAGATCTCTAGAAAAAAAATATTTTCTTTTACCATTGAAAATATTTGTTAGGTTCACATATATATGTATACTTAATTGCATCATACATATATTTAAAGAATTAATTGCATCATTCATCTTCATATTATGATATTTATTTTAAATTAATTTAAATCTTTCAAATATTTTAATTTTATCTTCAAATTATGATTGTTATTTTAAATTAGTCATCAAACTTTTAAATATTCTAATTCCATCTTCAAGTTACAACTCTCATCCTAAAATGGTCCCAAAATTTTGAATAATTTAATTTCATCGAAATATATAATTAGTTTCAATCATAGTTTAACCTACATTTTATTTTTTTAGACATATATTAGTATAGCTTGACTTATTAGTTTTACCAACGGAGATATGATTAGCATATATTGATAGTTTGAAATAAAATTAACATATTTAAAATTTTGGAACCAATTTAAAATGAGGGTTACAATATAAAATTGGGACATTAAAAAATTTTGAGGTTTAAATCAAGGTGAAAATCATAATTTGAGGGGAAAAAAAGATGAACAAAAGTTTAGAGACTAATTTAAAATAAGAATCATAGTTTAAGGAGGTGGGATGAAATTAACTCATGTTCAAAAGAAAAGTTGGATATATCTACTGAATTTTAGCTTATAAGGTTAATTGGGCAATTTAAAAATGGTAAGAGATTGATTTATGTCAAAATTGTATATCTAACATGTTCGTATACACGTGTTGTGTTCATGTTAGTTTTGGTATCGT